GCATACCTTATGTTATGCATGCGTGCATTTATACATTTGTCTTACATGCACCGGGCTCGGCGCATCATACTAACTGCATTCGTGTTTTAATCCCAAATTGAATACGTGTTAGTTGTAGCATTTCGCATGTCATTTTAGAATAGTCGAGCCTATTGTATTCGCATTCCTTCATGTGTTGCATTAGGCATTTCTGTATAGTTAGGATCACGCTTGGATTTCTAACATAGCTTTTGTTTTGGCTTGGAGTACTCGGTACGCCTTTACGCTTTAGCATCCTTGCATGCGTGTGAAGGTTGCCATGACAGCATGATTACCATGAGGCTATTTGCTTATGTGATATAACTGCTTGAATGCCTGTGGATAGAGGTTGAATTACCTGAATTGGAATAATGCATTAAAACCGTGAGTTTTAAGCCCACTTGATAGTGGCAAAAACCATCTTTTCTAAAGCCCACTCGAGGGTGGCAAAACCTGCATTTTAGCCTACTTACGAGTAGCAAACTGCTTTAAAAAACAAACATGAAATGTTTTGTTCTAACTCAGGCGATTCAGTCTATACTTGTATGTTGTGCGTATCACATAGTAAATCTAGGCTAATAACCGGAATAAGAACGCATAATGTTTTCAAAACAAGATATCATGATTAGTAGAGGCCGATCTTTGGATCGGACGAGAGGGAGTGCTCATAGCTGACCTTCCCCAATCGTACCCAAGTTCTCGAGCCGAGGCAACTCTGGTGATGACGAACACGTGGCCTTAGGCAAACGAGTCAGGGTTTCCTAAATTCTCCCAAAATAAAATATTTAGGTGGCGACTCTGTATTTGGCAAAGCAGTTCATGTTTGGCACTTCTTTACAAAAATCTATTTTTCAAAGCGATTTGTCAGATTTGGACTCTTTGGTTCAGATTAAGAACCGTGACAATTAGAGTCCGAACTGTAGTAAGCCCAAAACGAACAAAACGGGACTCATCCTCCCGGGGCGTTCGGGGACGTCTACATGCACCAGCTGGGGCAAGGGAGGATTCATTAATCTAATCGGCCATAGGGGAAGCCCTTGCGCCGATCGGGTTGAGTGCCCAGCCGTTCCATGAGCTAATGTCATTCGGCGTTCCAATTCATGTACCAGCTAAGGCAAGGGCAAATTCAGTAATATAATTGGCCAGACGTTAAAGCCTTGAGCCGTTTTACTTGTTAGTTTATCGAAGTTTCATGCACCTTTCCAAATTGTTACCTGTTGATTCTTTTAGTTATTCGGCTAAATAGCAAAGAGGCAGAGGATGTTTAACTGATTCGGTTAACTTATCAGATATACTATTTACTCATAGCAAACAGAAAAGCATAAGGAATAGTCATTAACGCATTAAAGACAAATAGTATATGCAGTAAACTTGAGAGGATAGAAAATTTTCATTAATAAATTGAGCGCTAATAGCAGTCATTTTACACATGAAAATTAGCTTACATTTAAAGAAATGAAAATCTACTAACAAAAACCTACAAAAACTATGCATCTAAGATGCCTACCATAAACCAAAATATGCCTTAATCAATCTTCAGGGTCAGATGTCAGCGGCTCAACGTCCACCTGCCGTATGGAATCGGCAGCGCCAATGTCACATTCGCAGCAGTGAGGGCTTTGACCCAGCCGTGTTTGAAACCCCGATTCTCAAACTTCGGCACTTCTTCCATGTAGTTTTCCAAGGCGGCATCCTTCCCAGCTTAGACCACTTTGGAAATCTCGAAGTCGGCTATTTCCTTTGCCTTCTTCGATTCTTCCAAGTCGGCTTCCAGCTTGGTGATCACCTCCTTGGCTAACTTAAGCGCATCTTCACTCGCCTTTGCCCTCTCCTCGGCGGCAAACCTTAATTGGTCGGAATTCCTCCCTCGCTCGGCCTCAGAGTCGACCCTCGCTCGGCCTCAGAGTTGACCCTCGCTCTTTCCTCTGCTGCTTGTGCTGCCTCATAATCGGCCCTTTGAGAGGCTACCACAACCTTGTCCTTTTCACTGTCAATTTCGGCTTTCAAGGAGCCGATTTGTTCTATGGCGTCATGTTGACGGCAGCCGATCTCGGCTATCCTACCCACCGTCTACAAAACAAGGAAATAAAGTTGCAACAAACAAATAATAAGAAAAATATTTATATATATATATATATGTATGTATTTAGAAGGAAGACTGCAGATAAGGCAAGTAATGTACCAATAAAGCCGACTGAGCGGCCAAAGCAATTAGCATTAAATCTGGCTCTGCGCGAAATGTGGCTCTGTCAGCCAACAGGGATATTGAGGAGGCCATACTCAAGGCTACAGTTGGGTCCTTCAAAGCTGACGCATCAGAGGCAATCGGCATATTCCTTATCCTTGGCTAAACAGTGAACGGAACAACCAAGTCCGATTCCTCAATGCGCGGCCGTTTGTCACTTTGGTCCTCATCATGCACGGCTTCTTTCTCAACGAGGCGCTTTTCTCCCCTTTGCTTAGCCTCATCTGCCCGTTCTACTTGCTCCATCTCGACCGTTTCAGTCTGAGTCATTTCTTCCGCAATAACAGGCGGGGAAGACTCAGTGACCGTGGCGGGTGGAGTTTCCGATCGGACGGCCTCGGCTCTCCTCCTGGCGGCCATCCTTTCGGCGTTTTTCCTCCGGGCATGTTGCGTGAGCGATTCCCCAGCCATATCCTCAGGATAAACGCCGGGAAGGTCTCTGAAGTTCATAAAAATGTCTTCAAAGGAGACATCTTCTCGGCCTGATGTCGATGGAGGGTCGGACATATTGAGTCCGGCTTCCTCAAAGGCCAAGTTAAGAGCATCATCTACCTCGGATTCCAACTAGTTCGGGTCCTCGGCGACCGGTTCGGCTGCTTGTTCTTCCATGTGTTCCGAATCGAAGGCTTCTAAACCAATCTGCCTTAGGTTTTTTAAACTGGGGAAAATAAAGGTTGTAAGATGATCTTCGCCTCTCGAAATTGGAATGTGGTCTACCGCCGAAAATGTTGCGTAAGTCAGTTCGTATTGCAAGAGAATGTGGGCCGCCCTCCTTTGTTTCTGAAGGTTTGGACGGCCAACGAACTGTAGTGCGATTTTAATTTCTGCAAGTACAGCATCGTCGGCTGAAACCAACACTTTCTTAAAATTGTTGCCTGCATAAACAAAATGGTAAGTACATGGAAGGAGAGCCGAATACATAGACAGTAATAAAAAAAACAAAAATGAGCTATACGGCCACCTGGTTTGCATTTTCGCCTTGGCACGGGTTCTAGGCGATCTTCACCCTCGTCGAATTCCCAGTTGCCTCGAACAACGACCATCATGTCGTCAACACGCTTGCCAGAGCTGGCAAGCATAGTCACTAAGTGATGATCGGTATCCTTGGCCCTGAGAAAATAGCGTCTCAGCCGGCCAGTAGACTTGGCTAAGGCATAACAATGCCGAATATCAGGTATACCTAGGTTAGTCCTAAGACAATGGTTCAACTCTATAATCCCCATTATGATGCGGAAAAAATTCACGTTAGGCTGGGAAGGAATTAGACCCCAGTGTCGAAGGACAACCCTTAAAAACGGGTGAAGGGGAAAACAGACTCTGCCCTCAGCAATCGATAGGAGAGGAAAGATGATTATACTCTCACCGGTCCTCTCCATATCAGTGGTGTTGTCTGCTATGAGTGACAGATAGACGTCATCAGGGATGGAATAATGGCGTCGGAAGCCAAAAATTCAATCCGCAAAAAGGAGCTCTTTCAGATGTTTTGCCATCCTAGCCAGCCTAAGGATTATGCAAAACTAAAAGTAAACAAGGAAATGGGATTGGAAGTGAAGGAGAAGAAAACTTACAAGGAGCAGAAGAGATAATGAGAAACATGAGGAAGTTACAGAGGTCGCGAAGTGAAGCAGTTCCACTAGAAGGCGAACCAGAAACTTTGAGTATTCAAAACATACATTCGAAGAGACAGTTTTAAATCACATTAAATGAAGGAAGCGTACGAAGAGGCGGGAAATTGTAATAATGACCAAAAAGCGTGTGCGTTCTGACACACGTTGGAATGAGGGTAACCGCTGAATTTTTGACTTTTCAAGTTCGAAACCAAACACGCCGACTAACTGGTGTTAGTGGGGTGTTTGGGGGGCAATTGTGGGAGCCGAATATCAGGGGACACAAATAGGCCGAGTACATAATTAGAAAATCAGGATATATATTATATTCGCTCCACTCTCGTACGTTCTAGATGCCGAGTATCCTAATCGGCCATAAAGCCAGTTGAGCGAGGAGCCGAGTAAAAGTTGGAATACGACAAAGGAAGGGCTGAGTGAACAATCACACGACAGATTAAGAATGGGCCCTACCCTGATGACCAGGAGCGTACATAAATAGAGGAACAACAACTAAGGAGAGGTATGTGAGAACAAGTAAGTATAACTTGAGATATAAGCAACCAAGAGAGTATACATTGACTTATCCGTCAGAGTGCTAATTCCGGCACCCCTAACCGGAGTGTTCATTCCTTTTTAGGTGACTAACTGAGGGTCACGAATGTCCCCCAGGATCCAAAGAGTATTTCTGAACCACTTCTCCACAGACTGTTTTCCCATATTAGCAGTAGTAGTCAAATTTGTTGCCTATATATACACAACATGATTTAGAACCAAAGCAAACCTCAACTTTTCATTTCATATAACAATTCCTTTCTCTGTCCTAAATGGCATAACCTTTTTTGAGTTTAAGCTTGATCTTCCCCCCAACCTTGCTAGTTATCTATTTCTTGCTCCTAAACTTGTTACTTTTAGAGTCTGTCTTAACAAACTTACTCTCAAACCAAACTGATAAATTTGCACAGCTTAAGTTTAAATCCCTAATAAATTATCAAACTGTAGGAGCATTGGCCTCTTGGAATGATTCAATGCCACTTTGCCAGTGGGTTGGACTCACATGTGGCCTCAAACACCAAAGGGTCACCAGCTTGAACCTGTTTGATCAAATGTTAGTTGGGACCATATCACCCAACATGGGAAATCTCTTTTTCCTCCACTCCCTCAACCTTGGAACCAATTCCTTCTATGGTGAAATCCCCCTAGAAGTTGGCCGCTTGATTAGGCTACGAGATTTGACCTTGACCAATAACTTTTTGCAAGGACAAATCCCTGTCAATTTGTCTCAATGTTCCAACCTCATCAATCTTGCACTGGACAACAGCCGCCTTGAAGGTCCAATTCCTTTCGAGCTTGGATCATTGTCAAGGCTTGTGACATTCTCACTCTATCACAACAATCTGATAAGAAAAATCCTAACTTCCATTGGTAATCTATCAGCTCTCCGAGTGTTTATAATAGAAAATAACAATTTGGAGGGAGAAATTTCGGATGCAATTTCCCAAATGACAAGTTTAACAGATTTCCAAGTGGGAGTAAATAAATTTTCCGGTCCGTTTCCTTCTTTACAATCTTTCATCACTCATAACACTAACTTTGCCTTTTAACATTTTTTATGGTAAACTCAGGGTCAACATGGGCTTTCTTCTTCCAAATCTTTAATTCTTCTTTCGTCAAGTAATCGATTTACTGGACCTATACCAGTTTCTTTATCCAACGCTTCAAGTCTTCAAGAAGTTGAGTTTGGTAGAAACATATTTATTGGAAACATACCCATAAATCTTTGCAATTTAAAGATTTTATATCGGCTTTCCTTCACAAATTATATTCTTGGAATTGGGTTTGATGATACGAGTTTTCTCACTTTTTTGACCAATTGCAGCCAACTACAATATATTGATATAAGCAAAATCAGTTCGAGGGTGCACTGCCTAACTCAATTTCCAATATGTCAATCCAATTGACTTGGCTACATGTTGGAGAGAACATTATTAGTGGAAGTAGGGATGGTCACGGTCCGATTTGAGGCGAGTTTGTCGTAATCCGCCCCTGCCCCGTTTCATATTGGGTGCAGGGCAAATTGGGGGTGGTGGTAATGGGACGGTGGACAGTTTTTTTTATAAGTTGAAAAATAAAAATATTAATAAAAATTGTAGTGAATTATGGATAATAATTCATACTTAATAAGAATTACAACAAATGAAATAGAAAATAAATGATTAAAAATTAATATTAAGTATAACATTCTAGTGTTTTAATTTTATTATAATGAAAAAAATTAAATTATATATTATATACATATAAATATAAATATATTTAATAAATATAATCGAGGAGGGAGAAGCAAAACTCATCCCCGCCTCACTTCCTCGATTGGGCAGGAAAACCCATGCGGGGCGGGGGATGCGGATGCGGGGCGAAGCGAGAGAAAATGCCCATCCCTAGGTGGAAGCATTCCTAATGAGATTCAAAACCTTATTAACCTAAATGTACTAGGGATGGAGTATAATTTGTTGATAGGTAGTCTCTACGGCCTCAAACAAGCGCCGAGACAGTGGTACAAGAAGTTTGACTCATTCATGGTAGGTCATGAGTACAAGAGAACTGTTGCAGACCAGTGTGTTTATGTCAGGACATTTCCCGGTGGAAACTTTATCATACTTCTGCTCTATGTTGATGACATGTTGATCGTTGGACAAGATGCCACAACAATCAGATCACTGAAGAAGGAGTTATTACAGTCCTTTGACATGAAGGACCTAGGCCCTGCACAGCAAATTTTGGGCATGAATATTGTGCGTGACAGGAAAGCCAAGAAGTTGTGGCTGTCACAGGAGAAGTACGTTGAACGAGTGATTGAGAAGTTCAACATGAAAGATGCCAAGCCAGTCAGTACTCCGCTGGCTAATCATTTCAAGCTGAGCAAGAATTCTTGTCCCTCCTCTACGAAGGAAAGACAAGAGATGGAGGCGATTCCCTACTCATCCGCTGTAGGGAGTTTGATGTATGCAATGGTGTCCACCCGACCAGATATTGCTCATGCGGTTGGAGTAGTAAGCAGATTCCTTTCCAATCCAGGAAAAGAGCATTGGGAAGCAGTCAAGTGGATTCTGAGGTACCTCAAAGGTACGGCAAAAATGTGTTTGTGCTTTAGAGATGCTAAACCAGTCTTAGAAGGCTATACGGATTCCGATATGGCGGGAGATCTTGATGGTAGAAAATCTACATCAGGATTTCTGTTCACTTTCGCAGGGAGAGCGGTGTCTTGACAGCCCAAGTTGCTGAAGTGTGTTGCTTTATCCACAATCAAGGCAGAATATATTGCTGCAACGGAAGCTAGGAAAGAGATGTTGTGGTTGCAGCGGTTTCTCCAAGAGTTGGGATTAAAGCAAGAAAAGTTCACGATACATTGTGATAACCAGAGTGCCATAGACCTGAGCAAGAAATCGATGTACCATTCTCGCACAAAGCACATTGATATTCGGTATCATTGGATACGCGAAGCGATGGAAAAGCAATTATTGAAACTGATCAAGATCCATACAGATAAAAATCCAGCTGACATACTGACAAAGGTGGTCTCGAGAAATAAACTCGAAATCTGCAGAGACATTGCCGTGATGGACTTCAAGTGAGAAGTCAGCTCTCCATATGGGTGTGGAGGGGGAGAATTGTTAGTGTCCAACACCGTTTCTCCACTGCCCAAATGGAGAACCCACTTGAAGAGAAGTGGGGTGGTAAGTGGGGGTGGCACCTCCCCATTAATGTGGGTGGGGGTGGCCACCTCCTCACTAATTGTTTGTGGCTCTCCTCTTCCTTAATTGTGTATAAATTGAGGTGAGGAGGAGAGGTTCAGAACACACAGAGATATAGAGATTGTGAGAGTTCAAGTGTAGTGAGAGTGCTATAGTGAGTGAGTGAGGTTTGAGTGGTGTAAACTCCCTCAGGGAAAATTCTATAGTGGATAGCTCTCCGTGGACGTAGGCAATTGCCGAACCACGTAAATATTCTTATGTTATTGTGTGTGATTGATTTCTGGTGTCTCACAGTCCCAACAAGTGGTATCAGAGCCGAATCGGTTGTGTTTTGGAAAAACAGAGTGCGTTTCTTCGAAACTGTCAGAAATCAAGTTGCTCAAAATCAGGTTTTAAGCATACTAGGAGGAAGCCCTCGACGAGAGGAGTTCGGCAGTGCAAAGAAGAACCCAAGAATATTATCCACGCGCCCTCACGCCCGGTTTGAAGCATGCGAGTGAATCTCATTCGCGACACGCGCTCTACGCGCCGTCCAGATCACCGGCGCGTCATCCCAGTCACAGCACGCGCGTGATACGTGGCGGAACGAGGAAGATGAGCCACGTTGGTGACACGTGTTCGCCACGTCAGCGCCACGTGTTCGCCACGTCAGCGCCACGTGTTTGACACGTCATCTGCCACGTCAATGACTCGTGTCAGTGTATCAGCCACTTGGCAGCCACGTCATCACATCCCCATTGACCAGTCAACTACCAGAGGAATGATCCAGTGATTTGCGGCTAAGGTACACCTGCAGATCTGAACTGTCCAAACTGTTTTGGCTTGATCTGAGCCATTCGAAATCCGTTTCTGACAATCCAATAGTGCTTTCCAACAATTTGGAATATTCCGGACACATCTGTACGGTCAGATTTTTTCAAATCATATTTCAAAAATTTACAGTTTTTATTTGCACAATCCGAAGTGTTTTTCCGAGTAATTTAACTAGTCCAGACTCAGCAGTGCAGCCTATTTTTCAGACAGAGATCATTTTCTGTATAGACAAGTGTTGATAGAGGAATCAACGTCGACTTCAGGATCTGTGTTCAAGTTGACTCCTTCCAATTATGCAATTTAGAAGTCACGGATGGAAGACACGTTGTATTATAAAGACCTATTTGACCCTATTTTTATAAAAGGGGTTAAACCAGAAGCAGTGAAAGATGATGACTGGATAAAGATGAATCGCAAGACTATTGGTTGTATCAGACAATGGATAGACCACGGTGTGTACCATCACGTCACCGAGGAGACAGATGCCTATGCTCTATGAACAATGTTAGACGACATGTATCGGTCAAAGACCGCTCGGAACAAAGCCTTGGTGATGAGAAGGCTTGTCAATTTGAAATTAAAGAATGGTATGTCTGTCACTGAGCACACTAGTGAATTCAAAAGTCTGGTGAATCAGCTTGCAACTGTCAAGATGCACTTAGATGATGAAATGCAAGCTATTCTACTGCTCAGTTCTTTACCGGATAGTTGGGAGACGTTGGTGGTTTCTCTCAGCAACTCTGCACCAGAAGGGAAACTGACCATGAGCATGGTCACTGACGCCATGTACAATGAAGAAACAAGGCGGAAAGACTTGGGTGGAGATCAATCCCATGCCCTCGTCACAGAAAATAAAGGTAGAGGCAGAGACAGAGGAAGAAGCAAAAGTAGAGGACGCAGCAATGGAAGATTTCAAGACAGATGGAAATCCAAAGAAGGTACGAGCCGGCCGAAGTTCAAGTGTTACCATTGTGGCCAAGAGGGCCACATAAAGAAATATTGCTATGCCTTGAAGGGAGAACAAAAACAAGGCAATAGACAGCCAAAGACAGAAGATGGGAACACTGCAGTTACCAGCTCAGAGGATATTGCACTATTCTCTATTGAAGAAGAAGAATGCCTCCATATGTCAGACAACGACACCGAGTGGGTGGTAGATACAGCAGCTTCCTACCACGCCACACCCCAGAAGGAGTTCTTCAGTACGTACCAAGCTGGAGATTTTGGTACAGTGAAGATGGGCAACTCCAGTTTTTCAAAGATTGTGAGAGTCGGTGATGTTCGCATCCAAACCAAAGTTGGGTGCACGATTGTGTTGAAAGATGTTAGGCATGTTCCCGATTTACGCCTAAATCTTATCTCGGGGATAGCCTTAGATCGACAAGGCTATGAGAACTACTTCGGCAAAGGCATGTGGAAGTTGAAAAATGGATCTCTGGTGGTAGCCAGAGGATAGGCAAATGGCACGTTGTACAAGACTCGTATGGAGGTGCATTCAGATAGCCTCAACGCAGCAGAAGATGAGGCATCACCAAATTTGTGGCACAAAAGGCTGGGTCACATGAGTGAGAAAGGGTTGCAAATTCTAGAAAAGAAGTCACTTATTCCCTTTGCCAAAGATGCGAAATTGAACCGTTGTGACAACTGCTTGTTTGGGAAGCAACATAGAGTCGCTTTCCATTCATCATCCAGAAGACAATCAGAGTTGTTGAGTAGAGTATACTCTGATGTATGCGGTCCCATAGAAGTGGAATCTTGGGGTGGCAGAAAATACTTCCTAACGTTTATTGATAACGCATCACGGAAGGTATGAGTTTATGTCCTAAGAACCAAAGCTAAGGTGTTCCAGCATTTTCAAACATTTCATGCTATGATGGAAAGGGAGACCGGAAAGAAGCTGAAGTGTCTCCGAACAGACAATGGAGGCGAGTACACGTCAAAGAAGTTTGAAGCCTACTGTGCTACTCGCGATATCCGACATGAGAAGACTGTTCCTGGAACCCCACAACACAATGGTGTAGCCGAAAGAATGAACCGGACCATTGTGGAGAAGGTTAGATGTATGCTAAAAATGACAAAGCTGCCAAAGCCATTTTGGGGAGAAGCTATTCGTGTTGCATGCTATTTGATCAATAGATCGCCATCAGTTCCATTGAATTTTGAAATTCCGGAGAAAGTATGGTCTGGAAGGGAGATTTCTTACTCTCACTTGAGAGTGTTTGGGTGCAAAGCATTTGCACATGTATCCAAGAAGCACAGACAACAGCTAGATGATAAAGCTACTCAATGCATCTTTATTGGCTATGGAGATGAAGAATTTGGATACAGATTATGGGATCCGAAAAATAAAAAGGTAATTCAAAGCCGAGATATGGTATTTCAAGAAGGCCAGACCTTAGAAGACTTTGGGCAACCGGCCAAACCCAAAGTTAATGATGTTTTAGAAATTGTTCCCAATCCTGCACCATCATAGCATGTCACTGATAAAGAAGAGCTCCCGCAGCATGCAGCTAATGATGTAGAGTTGCAGGATGAATTGCCAGAAGAAGAAGATCCAGAAGAAGAGGGTGTGGAGCAGGGGGAGCCATAACCCCCTCCGCCAGAGACTGCTAGTCCACAGTTGCGAAGATCAACAAGAGAGTCTAAGCTGTCGTCAAAATACCCTACTGCTAATTATATTTTTCTTACAGATGAGGGGGAGCCAGAAAGTTTTCAAGAAGCTTAGACTCATAAGGAAAAGAGTAACTGGCATCAAGCTATGCAAGAAGAGATGCAGTCCTTGTAGAATAATCAGACTTATAATTTGGTAAAACCTCCCCAGGGTCGAAAACCATTGCAGAACAAATGGGTGTTCAAGTTGAAGAAAGATGGCAGCGGAAAGCTAGTCAAGTATAAGGCTCGATTAGTTGTCAAAGGTTTCGAGCAGAAGAAAGGTATTGATTTTGATGAAATCTTCTCGCCAGTTGTGAAAATGACATCCATTTGAGTAGTTTTGGGACTTGCAGCTAGTTTGAATTTGGAACTTGAACAGATGGATGTAAAGACGGCATTTCTCCATGGAGATCTGAAGGAAGAAATTTACATGGAGTAGCCAGAAGGTTTTGAAGTAAAAAGGAAAGAAAACTTAGTCTGCAGATTGAAGAAGAGTCTTTATGGCCTCAAACAAGCGCCTAGACAATGGTACGAGAAGTTTGACACATTCATGGTGGGTCATGAGTACAAGAGAACTGCTGCAGACCAGTGTGTCTATGTCAGGAAATTTCCCGATAGAAACTTCATCATACTCCTGCTTTATGTTGATGACATGCTGATTGTTGGATAGGATGCCACAGCAATCAGATCACTGAAGAAGGAGTTATCACAGTCCTTTGACATGAAGGACCTAGGCCTTGCATAGCAAATATTGGGCATGCAAATTGTGCGTGACAAGAAAGCCAAGAAATTATGGCTGTCACAGGAGAAGTACGTTGAATAGGTGATTGCGAAGTTCAACATGAAAGATTCCAAGCCAGTCAATACTCCGCTGGCTAATCATTTCAAGCTGAGCAAGAGTTCTTGTCCCTCCTCTACTAAAGAAAGAGAAGGGATGGAGGCTATTCCCTACTCATCCACCGTAGGGAGTTTCATGTATGCAATGGTGTCTACCTGACTAGATATTGCTCATACTGTTGGAGTAGTAAGCAGATTCCTTTCCAATCCAGGAAAAGAGCATTAGGAAGCAGTCAAGTGGATTCTGAGGTACCTCAAAGGTACGGCAAAAATGTGTTTGTGCTTTAGAGATGCTAAACCAGTCTTAGAAGGCTATACGGATTCCGATATGGCGGGAGATCTTGATGGTAGAAAATCTACATCAGGATTTCTGTTCACTTTCGCAGGGAGAGCGGTGTCTTGACAGCCCAAGTTGCTGAAGTGTGTTGCTTTATCCACAATCAAGGCAGAATATATTGCTGCAACGGAAGCTAGGAAAGAGATGTTGTGGTTTCAACGGTTTCTCCAGGAGTTGGGATTAAAACAAGAAAAGTTCATGGTACATTGTGATAGCCAGAGTGCCATAGACCTAAGCAAGAATTTAATGTACCATTCTCGCACAAAGCACATTGATATTCGGTATCATTGGATAAGCGAAGTGATGGAAAAACAGTTATTGGAACTGATCAAGATCCATACAGATAAGAATCCAGCTGGCATACTGACAAAGGTGATCTCGAGAAACAAACTCGAAATCTGCAGAGACATTGCCGGGATGGACTTCAAGTGAGAAGTCAGTTCTCCATATGGGCGTGGAGGGGGAGAATTGTTAGTGTCCAGCACCATTTCTCCACTGCCCAAATGGAGAACCCACTTGAAGAGAAGTGGGGTGGTAAGTGGGGGTGGCACCTCCCCATTAATGTGGGTGGGGGTGGCCACCTCCCCACTAATTGTTTGTGGTTCTCCTCTTCTTCAATTGTGTATAAATTGAGGTGAGGAGGAGAGGTTCAGAACACACAGAGATATAGAGATTGTGAGAGTTCAAGTGTAGTGAGAGTGCTATAGTGAGTGAGTGAGGTTTGAGTGGTGTAAACTCCCTCCGAGAAAATTCTATAGTGGATAGCTCTCCGTGGACGTAGGCAATTGCTGAACCACGTAAATATTCTTGTGTTATTATGTGTGATTGATTTTTGGTGTCTCACAGTCCCAACAATTTGGGCGCTTCTTTCCGAAAATCTCTTACACAAATCTCCTCAAAGCAACTGATGGATTCTCTACTGAGAATTTGATTGGATCTGGTCATTATGGAAGGGCGCCTCTTTCCGAAAATCTCTTACACAAATCTCCTCAAAGCAACTGATGGATTCTCTACTGAGAATTTGATTGGATCTGGTCATTATGGAAGAGTGCACAAAGGAATGCTCAGTCCTGATGAAACAACTGTGGCGGTTAAAGTACTCAATCTTCATCAACGAGGAGCAGCCAAAAGCTTCATAACTGAATGCCAAGTTTTGAGAAACATTAGACACCGTAACCTTGTCAAGGTCCTGACTGCTTGCTCCAGTACTGATTATGAAGGCAATGAATTTAAAGCTCTAGTATATGAGTTCATGCCAAATGGAACTTTAGAAAGCTGGCTGCATCCAAGAGATGGTCAATTGCAAACCAGAAAATTAAACTTTTTCCAGAGGATAAACATTGCAATAGATGTGGCTTTCACATTACATTATCTTCATAATGAATGTCAAATGCCTATTGTTCACTGTGATATAAAGCCAAGCAATATTCTTCTTGACAATGACCTTACAGCTCATGTAAGTGATTTTGGTTAGGCAAGGCTTCTAAATGTGTATGTACCTATAGGTATACTTCTCTCTCTCTCTCTCTCTCTCACACACACACACACACACATACACATACATTGGATTTATTTCTATATTGAAACTTCTATCATAAGATGCATTTAAAACATACACATACATTGGATTTATTTTCTATATTGAAACTTCTATCATAAGATGCATTTAAATTTCAATAGAATTGGAGCTTCACATAAAAGAATGGCCTCTTACCATGATTAAGAAAAAAATTCAGTATATCATTTATTACATAGTATTTGTGTGGTTGACCAATTTCATGACTTCTATCACATTGTTTAAGACATGAGTAAAGCTATAAGATCAAAATTTTTATACAAAATTCTCATATAGAATGATTTGCTATTTTGTAAAAATTTTATTTCAAACTAAAACATCCATTATTGTGGCTCACAATTTCAAAATGTCATTATCACATTGGCCCTGTTTGGTAGAGCTGTGGGAAAGTGATTATAAATTATAGCCTAACAGCTTATAACTTATAACTGTGAACATAAGCTGATTTTTGACTTATAAATTAAGCTTCTCCTCCCCCACTCAAAGAATAACTTGATTTTTGACTTACAAAAAGTTATAAGCTGTATTGTTAAGCTGAACCAAACACATCAAAATAGCTTAAATTAAGCTAAAAGTTGAAATAAGCTGGAAATAAGCCCTACCAAATAGGGCCATTATCTAGTTGAGTTTTTATGTATAAAAATTTAGTTTGTTGATCACTTTTCTTAACCAGTATGAGGTAATTACAAAACTATGTTATGGGTGAAGAGGTGTCAACTCGTGGGGACACGTATAGCTTTGGAATCCTCTTGTTGGAGATGTTTACTGGTAGAAGGCCTACTGACGAGCTATTCAAAGACGATTTGAACCTTCACAACTTTGCTAAAATGGCATTGTGTGGGTGAGTAACAGAGATTGTTGATCAATTCCTATCAAGTGAGGTGATGCAAGGAGTTCAAGATTGCATTGGAAGTTTGAGTGAGCATACAAGGATAGAATGCTTAGTTTCTGTATTTCAAATTGGAGTGGCATGCTCATATGATTTTCCAATAGATAGAATGAACATGAGTGATGTTGTCTTGGAATTTCTCTTAGTCAAAGACAAATTTCTTGGAAATGGAGTGCGCGATAACACAACCCAGTTTACAAGTGAAATCTCTGAAGCTATAGTATAGTATGGTCGACAAATTAATTTGTTTTGTTTTGTTTTTTTTTGTTTACTAGGCATAAATATCTTAAATTCTCATTTTCCTTTCAATTTCAAAGGTTTTGTTTGTATGTAAAGTTTAAGGTTTTGTTTGTATGTAAAGTTTCCTATATAAATGGGTTTCTCTTTGTGGAGTATCGCGTATCAATGTCAAGAACGCTAGAAGTTGTTGATTAAAATTGAAATTCTCCTCATGTTTTTAATCTTGTTTAGTTAAATTATACCAATAGCCTTTATAGTTTATAGTTTAGTGAATTGTAACTTTAGTCCCTGCAAATTTGAAAAAATATAACCCCTACACTTTCAATTTTGTTGCAATGTAGTGGTCCATTTGTGATTCATTGTTAACGTTTTGAACGGAAAAAATCACGTGCAAAATTAGAGATACCAAAGTGAATTCAAAACAAACTATAGGGATCATTGGTATGTTGAATACAGTCCAATCTGACAGGTTTGGTGTGGTTTTCTTAATTCATGTTTTGATTCTGGCTTGAAAAATAAGGGAATCGGTCTCCATGAATCCATTCTGGATTTAAGTCCACAGTTCTGGATTGGAACCGAACCAGACCATATATAACTTATGTCATATACCTACCATACACCCTGATGCGCATAATCCTACCCTCTTATATATAAATCAAACCAAAATCCATATCATTTCAGTTTTCTCTTCTCTTCTCTATGTCGCTAGAACTGATTTTTTAATTATTCAGCATAATTTTAGTTTTGTAATTGTTACTGATATGGCAATCTTTATTTGATGGGAGTTTTATATTTGTTACATATTGAACAAAATGTTTATTTACTAGATATTATGTTTGTTTAAGTTATGGTAGATCAATATGTTTATGTTTTGAAAAATCATGGATAGATTAATGTCAAACAATATTTGCTTAATACTATATGATTTTTCTTGTGAATATATTATGTGAAATCGTGGTTTCAAATTGAATTAAACCATTTTTAAATGGTTTGGTTTATATTGGTTCTACGATTTAAATAGATTGGTTTGATTCCAATTTTTATAAAACCATAGATAACGGATTGGTTCTGACTTTATTCCAATCTAGACTATGCTCACCCCTAATTTTCAATTGATAACAAAAAATATTTTTCGTTACCTTAGCTTTTTTGAGGTTTAATTACTCAAAAGTCATATTTATAAGGTTGGCGCTCCATTAAATCCTATTTCATTATTTTAATCAATAAGGTCCCATGTTCAAAATATTTATGTATATATGACTATTTTACACTTATTAAAAGGCAAAAGGAATTGAAAAGTGTCAATTCAATAAGTGCTAATAAAAAATTATTAGATGCTCCAAGTGCATTACATGACAATATTTTTTACCAATCACCAAACATTATGTTTCATGTCCCAACACAAAATTGTGGGCCTCACCCTCTCCACTAACCATAAATCTTCTAGTAACCACCTGACCATATTCTAAAAGCACTAGATAATTTTTCACAGTTCAAATGGATACTACCGTTGTGACATTTACTTTTTTGAATTGTCATTTCAAAATTTAAAAACTTTTATTATACACATCTATTTTTAATATAAAAAAAATTATATTTGGAGTCTATACAACGAGACCTATCAAATAAGACCACTATTGAATATAAAACTTTATAAAAATAAAATATTATTTTTTTACCTATACAAAACTAACAATATCTTTGTTTCCGAAACGATCCAGTAAAACTCATAAATTTCTCAACTTTTTGCAGTGTTAAATGAGAAAATTATCAATGATGGGCATGACCCGCATGGCCCAGGAAAGCCCAACCCACAACTGTCTTGGGTGACCCAAGTGGTCATTTAGTCATGGCCCAGTAGGTGAAACTCAACAGCAGGCCCACTGAAGACCCTACACTAGTCCAGGCCCTGTGACATTTTGACACCTGTTAGATAGGGAGTTAGCCACGTAGCAGACAAAGATCCTGCATAGTTATTGGGCCCAGGTATCAGGTATTAAATAAGGTTGTCATGGCATAAAATGCAACACGATTTCTCATTCTCTAGTATGGTGAAACCACCATGACCGACGGTGGGTAGGCCATAGACTTTTGACCAATAAGACAACTTGAATGGACAAATAAATGATATAAGGATGCCGTGATCATGTTCACATGCATGCTCATATTCAAAACGACCTTTGGTCCAGTCAATTCTTCATTCAAAATGACCTTAAGTCCATTTAACAATCATACAAAGCGACCTTCAATCCAATTCATATGTAAGATAACCTTATGTCTATCTTGTCAAATATTCTAAATGGCCTTAGGCCCATTTCGTATCATTGTCAAATACATCAAACGGCTTCAGGCCCATTTCATATTCTCATCAAGCATACCAAATGGCCTTAAGCCCATTATGTATTCATACAAAATGACCTTTAGTCCAATCTTATAATTTCGTGCTTATCAAGCATGTTTCAAGTCCTTTACGAATCAGACAGGTAGAATATTCATTCATGATACAAATTCATGAGTTCGGAAAACTTACCACATAGGTAGTATTTAGAAAATAACATACATGAAAATATCTTTACTAAGATACTACTCACAGTATTCAATCGGCTGATTCGTCCTCAGAGTTGACCCTACACAATTTGTAACACATACAAAAATTGGATCACAATACAATTCAATCTGCTCTTTAATTCATTTATCTTTCTTAGGCTTCTTTCTAACTCTTTTGTTCATTTGGAATGCTCAATGTATGCCTAAGAATGCTCAGAAATGAAATAGAACGAAAATTGAAATATAAAACAGCTTTTCAAAGTTTCCTGAAACAGGGTACTTCGCTCAAGCGCACACTTGGTCGCTCAAGCAGTTTAACAATATGTAGAGGGTTCGCTCCAGCTCGCACTTGGTCACTCGAGCCGTCTGTAAAGATTGAAAAAGTACAGGATGCATGCGAAGTGCGCTCGAGCGACAAATTGTTCACTCAAGCGGTGAGGCAGAATTCTAGAATTTCTATAACAGAGTTAAAATTCAAACACATAGTTTAAAATCATGAATTTGCATGGCTTATCCACAACTTCAAAGCATACGTAGAAATTCTTTCAAAAACATGGATTACAAGGTTCATGCTCAAAGGATGAAACTCAACGTTCAAACCGAATGAATCTTTCCTCTCTTTTCTAATCATTCACTTATGTTGTTTCTTAGCTTATTGGTCCTTAGTAAGTCATAATTTACGCTTAAGAATGCTCGGAAAGAGATGGGACAAATATATGAACTTAAAGTGCCTTTTTGAAAACATGCTAAAAATGAACTGATGGCTAGAGCCATCTTTTGGTCGCTCGAGCCATCATTGGCTCGAGCTAACTTTTAGTTGCTTGAACCATCGTTCGCTCGAGCTAACTTTCGGTCGCTCGAGCCAACTTTTGCATAGTGAAAAATACTGTGAGCCATCTATGAAATTTTTGGGTTTCAAAGTACAAAGTTTGGCTTCCAAACACAAATTCAAAGCCTTGGGTCATGCTTGGATCATTCAAAAACATAAAATTACTTTAGAAAACATATATATATATATATATATGACCCCTTAAAAACCATTTGCTTTAAAATCTCATCAATTTGGCAAAATTGAGCTTAAAACCCTCATGTATGCAAGATTTTCAAACTCTTATATCAAAACTCAACTCCAAAGTGTATAAGCTTGCATGTTTAAACCAAACTCTTGAAATCACATGGAAATACATATGGATGAGCTCAACTTGAAACCATGAGCTCAAAA